GGAACCATATATCTGATAAAGATTTACTATCCAGAGTAAATAAAGAAATCCTACAACTTGAAAACAAAAAGACAAACAACCTAATCAAAAATGGGTAAAGGACCTGAACAGACATTTCACCAAAGAGAACATTTAAATGGCCAACAAGCACATGAAAAGATGCTCAACATCATTAGTCTTTACCCATTGCCATTGAGTTAATTCCGACTCATAGCGTCCCTATAGGACAGAATAGAAGTGCTCCATAGGATTTCCAAGGCTGTAAATATTTAAGGAAGCAAACTACCACATCTTTCTCCCACGGAGTGGCTAATCGGTTCAAACAGCCACCTTTCAGTTAGCAGCTTAGTGCTTTAACGACTGTGCCACCAGGGTTCCTCCCATTAGTCTTTCCAAAACCAAACTTGTTGCCATCAAGTCGATTCCAACTCATAGTGACCCTATAGTACCGAGTAAAACTGCCCCACAGCGTTTCCAAGGAGTGGCTGTTGGATTTCAACTGCGGATCTTTTGGTTAGCAGCTGAGCACTTAACCACTGTGCCACCAGGGCATCTCATTGGTCATTAGAGAGATAAAAATCAAAACCACAGTGAGATGCCACTTGACCTCCGCTGTGACAATGATTTAAAAAAGAAAAAAGAAGAATAACAGGCGTCGGTGAAGATGTAGAGAAACTGGAACCCTCATCCATTACTGCTTAGAATGCAAAATGGTACAGTTGCTGTGGGAAAGTTTAGCAGTTCTCAAAAAGCTAAACACAGAACTACTTTGTTGTTGTTAGGTGCCATCGAGTTGCTTTCGACACATAGTGACCTTATGTACAACAGAACGAAACACTGCCCAGTCCTACACCATCCTCACAATCATTGTTATGCTTGAGCCCTTTGTTGCAGCCACTGTGTCAATCCATTTCCTGGAGGGTCTTCCTTTTTTTTCCCACTAACCCCCTACTTTACCAAGCATGATGTCCTTCTCCAGGGACTGATCTCTCCTGATAACATGTCCAAAGCATGTGAGATGTAGTCTCGCCATCCTTGCTTCTAAGGAGCATTCTGGCTCTACTTCTTCCAAGGTGGATTTGTTCTTTCTTTTGGCAGTCCATGGTATATTCAATATTCTTCGCCAACACCACAATTCAAAGGCATCAATTCCTTTTCGGTCTTCCTTATTCATCATCCCATGCATATGAGACAATTGAAAACACCATGGCTTGGGTCAGGCATACCTTAGTCTTCAAGGTGACACCTTTGCTTTTCAACAATTTAAAGAGGTCTTTTGCAGCAGATCTTCCCAATGCAATTCGTCTTTTGATTTCTGGACTGCTGCTTCCATGGATGTGGATTGTGGATCCAAGTAAAATGAAATCCTTGACAACTTCAATCTCTTCTGCATTTATCATGATGTTGCTTATTGGTCCAGTTGTGAGGATTTTTTTTTCTTGATGTTGAGGTGTAATCCATACTGAAGGCTGTGGTCTTTGATCATCATCAGTAAGTGCTTCAAGTCCTCTTCACTTTCAGCAAGCAAGGTTGTGTCATCTGCATAACACAGGTTGTTAATGAGTCTTCTTCCAATTCTGGTGCCCTGTTCTTCATAGAGTCCAGCTTCTCGGATTATTTCCTCAGTATGCAGATTGACAGGATGAAACCCTGACACATACTCTTCCTGACATTAAACCATGCAGTATCCCCCTTGTTCTGTTAGAATGACTGCCTCTTGATCCATGTACAGTTCCCTCATGAGCACAATTAAGTGTTCTGGAATTCCCATTCTTTGCAATGTTCTCCATAATAGTAGACTATTTTGAATCAAGACAAACGTATGTTCTACTATGCCGAGAACTACCATATGATCCAGCAATCCCAATCCTAGGTGTATACCAAAAAGAACTGAAAGCAGGAATACAAGCAGAAACCTGTCCACCAATGTTCACTGCAGCACTATTCACCATAGTCAAAAGGTGGAAACAACATAAATGTCCATCAACAAATGAATAAACAAAATGTGGTACACATACACAATGGAGTATTACTCAGCCATAAGAGAAATGAAGTCCTGATACATAGTAGAACATGGATGAACCTTAAAAACATTATGCTGAGTGAAATAATTCCGTCACAAAAGGATAAATATTGTATGGTCCCACTTACATGAAACAGGAAAATGTATAGAGACCAAAGCTTATTAATGGTTACCAGGGGTTGGAGGGAAGCGAAGAGGGAGTGTCATTACCTAGAGGGCACTGAGTTTCTGTTAATGGTGGTGGAATAATTTGGAAAAGAACAGTGGTAATGGTTGCACAATATGATAAATGTAATCAATGTCACTGAATTACATAGGTAAAAATTCTTGAACTGGCAAGTGTTGTTATATTTTTACTACAATAGAAGAAAAATAAAAAACAAGTATTTCTTAAAATCATATATACATCATGATGGATGTAAAGAAGTTTTACTTTTACTGCTTTTCCTCTTCCTCTGCAGACACCTTCCCACCAATATTTACAACCTGGCATCCTCCTATACCTTTTTAAATTTTCACTTAAGTGTTCCAATATGCATGAATGCATTTTTACACCATTTTATAAAATCTAACAGCATGTATTGGATCGATCTCAAAGGCAAATTTTAGCAGCTGTATAATATCCTATCGTATGTTGTTGTTAGTTGCCTTTGAGTCGATTCTGACTCATGGCAACCCCATGTGTGTTAGAAGTAGATTTTGGAAGTAGATCGCCAAGCATTTCTTCCCATGTACCTCTGTGTGGACTCCAATCTCCAATCTTTCCCTTAGCAGCTGAGTATGTTAACTATTTGCCCCACCCAGGGATTTCATCTTAGAGTCCTTCATTTCTAGTAGTAAGGGAGCTTAGACGATGACGTGGAACAATTACGACCAGGACTGGAAGTGACTTAGGACACTTCTAACCATATTCCATTGGCTACAACCCAGTCTTGTGGTCCCAACCGAACTGCAAGGGAGGCTAGGAAATGTAGACTTGCTGTGTGCGCAAGCAGAGGAAATGGATGAGCGTTTAGCCAATAATCTTTACATTGGTGCCTTTATCTAAGAATATATTCCTGGACTAAAATTGCTGGGACAAAGATATATATAATAACTTTGCAAAAAGACCTTAATAGCTCCTATTTCCACCAGCAATATGAAAATACTTTCCTCAACATCATTAGGGGTTATAACTTGCTTTTGCCAATCTGATGGGTGTAAGATGGTGCTTCTTTTTATTTTCACTGCATGCCTTGACTACTAGTGAGGTTGATTGTATTTTCATATTTATTGGTCATTTAGGCTTCCTTCTCCGTAATTTCTCATCTGTTTTTCTCTTGCTTCTGTTTTTATTATAAACTATAAAAGCCCTTTGTATTTTATAAACATTAACACTTTATCTTAGGCACAGCAAAGTCTTTTCCTCCCAGTTGTGTCAGTTATTGTTTGTTGATACTCAGCACCATCTTGCTCTTTTAAGTCTCCCTTCTATAGGCAGTATAAGACTTGAAACTCACATTCTCAGATTCCCTTGTCAGTGGTCTTCACTTAGCATCTACTAATGAGAGGCACTCATATGAAATAAGGAAGTGTGAAGAGAGCTAGAAGCCTTTACCTTCGGTTATGCATGCTCGACAGATGCATGTGAGCAGATGGCAGACCTGGGTGTGCAGCGGCTTCCACGTGGTGTCTAATAAACAGCAGCACATTACTGGCAGTGGCTTTCCTTGAAATTCTTGCACTACTGGATTTTCTGAAAGCCAGCAAAGATTTTTCCTATTTTTTCCCCTCCAGTCTGACAGTTTAGTAAAAATATCTCTTCCTGCATGAAAAATCTAGAGCAATCTGTTTTCCAGACCAAGAACTGACTTAAACATTAACCTACCACTTGTCTTTTGCCTGTTTACAGCCGATTTTTCCTACCTGTATTTTTTAACTTTAATTTTTCAAATATATGTTTTATATTATACTTTCTGGAGTTGCTGTCTGGGTTAAAAGGGTCTTCCCAAGCCTTGATGTTGTGTGCCTAGTTGATTCCGACTCATAGCGATCCTACAGGACAGAGTAGAACTGCCCCATAGGGTTCCCATGGCTGTAACCTTTACTGAAGCAGATCGCCAGGTCTTTCCGCAGAGCAGCTGGCAGGTTTAAACCAACGACCTTTGGTTACATAAACATTCTCCTCAAACTTCTTCTAATATTTTATTGTTTACATTTAAGTCCTTAATTCATCTGGAATTTACTTTTGCATATGTTGTGATTGCTAGTTATCATTTATTAAATAAATCACCCTTTCGCACTCAAATGAAATACTATCCTTCTCCCAAATGTCTTGATCTGTTTTTAGGCCACCTACTGAATTCCAGTGATCCATTTGTTTATTCTAAGCCAATGGTGTTGACTGCTGTGGCTTTGTAGCATATTTTAACAACTTGTTTATAAATTTAAATTCAGCGGAGATCACCTAACACAATCACTCGTGCTATCAGGTTAATTTAGCTGTATACAGAACTCACAATAAAACTTATCTTGCCAGTTCTGGCATGTACTTGAACTTTCTATAAATATGAATAACAAAAACAATTGAATGCTAGGTTAATATAAGGCAACAATGGTCAATCATAACCCAATTCCGTATGTTTGAGAAAAGCAGCCTCACTCTGCTCACTGACTGCCTTTATAACGAGTGAATGTTATAAAGCTGAATTTGTAAAGTTATACTAATCAAATACTACTTTTCTGATTTATATAGACTTTAATATCAGACCCCATATAAGATATATGGAACTCATTCATTTGCAAAATGGGTTCTATTACTAGTAAGTTTTAAAAGTCTAACACATAAACTTGTGTTATCTTAAGTATCAATCATTCCACTGTTAGTCTGATTTTTTAAAATTGAAATAATTCACATACCATAAAAGTTCACCCTTCTATATTGCTGAATTCGGTGGTTTTCAGTATATTCAGGAAGTTGTATATCAATTGCCACTAATTCCTGTTTGTCTGATTTTTTTATTATTTAAAAAAATGGAAAAACAAAAGGGCAATTTTCATTCAATAAATATCATTTGCTCCTTATGCAGCATTGTTGCAGAAAGTGAAGTCTATGATCTTAGAACAATGACAGCCATCCAGCAGCAAAGTAATCAGTTTTCATACAGTTTCAATAACAGCAGCAATTTCCTTGAACTGTCTGTAGAAATTCTGGAGAGAAAGGGAAAATATAATATTAGTTTGGCTTTTAGTGGATGTTTAAGTGGTTCTTTTAATTCTATATTAAATGGACATGTTAGGTCTACATTTTAATGTTGCATCCTCAACTATTACTGAAGTTGCTATAAGAAACAAACAGGAGCAACAGCAGAAGTCCTACTGGAGAGGTGGATAATTAGCCCTTGACTAAATCTTTTAAAAAACATGAGAAAGTTCTTTTATGATCAGATGAGAAAGATTTATTAAATACCCAGTATTGTCTTAGATATCGAAGACAAAAACAAAAATGACAGGTTAGTTCCCAGGCCTAAACCCATTTTAAATCTAGTGAAAGACTTCATTGCAGGATGGTAAATGCTTTCTTATTTAAGATACAGGTTCTAGTACAATAGAGAGACCCAACGTTGACAATGGCTTATATGCTAGAAGCTTATTTCTCTCTCATTTAAAAATCTAAGCTGGTGTTTTGGCTCTCCTAAATAAGCCATCTTCTTTTTTAAAACCTCAGATACAGCATCAAACAAATTCTGTTTTCCTTTCTTCTCCTGTACGTGCCAGAAAGCTAGGAGGCAAATATGAAACATCCTCAGCAATTAGGATAACTGGTGATTTATATATTTGTATTTTCTTTCTTATGTGGTCTTCATTTTCTATTTTGCTTCTTAAGAGTATATTTATTTTGTTTTAAGTTATATCCGAATTCTTTGTGGAATGAAGCAGAGTATAACTATTTCTTTAAAAATATATCCTGATGGCCAAAATTTCAGCTAGCAATAAAGATATAAATTCAGAGCTCAAAGAATTTTCCTTAGCTCTCAGTCCTATAAAGTGACTAAAAGACTCTGTTTGCTGGTTAGCTTTAAGCCATGTACAAGCTACCTTTCAAAAGGAGTTGCCCCAAATTGTGATTTTTTTTTCCTATGAGAAAAAAATTTCCAGAGGTAGAATCAGAAAGCATGAATTCTCACAGAAAATAAGAATTAGGCCAGCACTATGAATTGCCCAAAGTAATGACCCCTATATTGTCTTTTGAAATTGATTTGGTCCTTACATTCAGAGTTGAAGCTACTACATACCACTATATATATTTATTTTCTCTTAACCAAGACCTAATTATTTCCAAGACACTAAGCAGCATTAATAAAGTTAAATTTGTGACCACTGTTTTTTTCTACAGCAAATATTTGTTTTTAAAAAAAAAAAAATCAAAGGGAAAGAAATCCCCTAAAATGCAGTTTATAAAAGAAATCAAAAGCATCATAGAGTGGTATATAAGGGGCTTTTCTTTAAAGGGAAGCCTAGGACCAATATATTTTTAGTTAGTTTTACAAAACTTTCTCCTTATATATCCCTTTTATTCATATGGCTGCTTTTCTTAGAATACCTGATTTAACCTAACTGCTACGGAGATTCACTTACCAAATGTACTGAAACAATCAAAAACAAAGCTCTACAAGCTAATTAAATTAGTCAATGATGAAACATTTTCCTGTATGTACATTCAAAAGGATATCTGAGTTACTACCCACCCCCTCCCTTTTCCCCCTCCTTTAGTTATAAAAAGAGGTAGAACAATAATGCTGTTAGTTGTTATCAAGTCTACTCTGACTCATGGTGACCTTATGTAAAACAGAACAAAATGTTGCCTTGCCCTGCACCATCTTCATGACTGTTAGTATGTTTGAATCCGTTGTTACAGCTATTATGTAATGCTACCAACCTAGGGGGCTCATATTCTAGCACTATATCAAACAATATTCTGTTGTGATATATAAAGTTTTCATTGGCTAATTTTTGAAGCAGATCACCAGACCTTTCTTCCTAGTCTGACTTAATCTGGAAGCTCTGCTGAAACCTGTCCTTCACAGATGACCCTGCTGGTATTTAAAATACTGGTGGTATAGAGGCAGGGCCAAGATGGTAGAGTAGTCAGACGCTTCCAGTGGACCCTCTTACAACAAAGACCCGAAAAAACAAGTGAATTGATTATATATGGCAATCTGGGTGCCCTGAGCATCAAAGGCAGAGTTGAGGAACCAGGCTGAGTGGCAGGGGGAGGAAGGGATGGTTCGGAAGCAGCGAGGAGTTGCCAGACCTGACCCGGTAAGAGCCTGAGCCCTTCAGGCCTGATCAGGTCGGGGGTGAGAGGTGAGGCAGGCAAGCAGTGGGCCTCCGGAGATGCATTTTCTGCACCGGGAGAGACCTAGTGCCAGAGAGTCTACACGGCCACCCAGAACCAGTGAGAAGCAGCCCTGGATCGGCGAAAGATAAGTAATTGCATACGGCCTACCACGTGAATCAAAAACACACCCCTTAGGGAAAAACCTCTCTCCCATTTACTTCCTCACTCCCTGCTCTGCACTGGGTCCTGGACCGGCTTCAGCAATTGCCGAGTCTCCTGGGCCGGAAGTAGGACCCGTCACGTACCCTGAGCCATTCTCCCTGCCTTGGAGAGTGAACAAATTAACAAACAGAGGAAAAAAATAAACTGCCAGCTCCCCTAAGCCAGGAACCCAGGGTAGGCATAGCTCCTTTGCCTAGGCACAGGCATAAGGGATCCACGGACTTTGAGTGCCTTTCCCCCTGCAGCAACTTGTGTGGGACCATCTCAACAGCGTAGGCCCTCATTATCACAGTACTGTCTAGGATTGTGAGAGCCTACACCACATACTTGGTGGCTATCTACCTGGGCACCTGAGCTGAATCCGTACAGGAGGAGCTCACATACCTAGTAACAGATCTAACCACCTGGTGACAGGATATTAGAGCTTCAAAGGTGCCAGTAATCAAACTAGCTCATACAAGCAGCTTATTTGGGCATATCAAAACAAAACAAGAAGCCAGGACACAGAAGGAAACATAAAATAAATAAACATAATAACTTATTGATGGCTTGGAGACAACAGTCAATATCAAATCACATAAAGAGGCAATCCATGATGGCTTCAGCAAGTTCCCAAAATAAAGAATCTAGAAATTTTCCAGAGGAGGAAAATTTCTTGGAATTACCAGAGGTAGAATACAAAAGATAAATATACAGAACTCTTCAAGAAATTAGGACGGAAATTAATCAAAACACAGAACACGCAATAGAGAAAATTAAAAAGATTAGAGAAGAGCATAATGACAGATTTAACAGGCTGCAAGAATCCACAGAGAGACAGCAAACAGAAATCCAGAAGATTAACAATAAAATTTCAGAATCAGACAACTCAATAGAAAGTCATAGGAGCGAAATTGAGGCAATGGAAGTCAGAATTAGTGAGACTGAAGACAAAGCACTTGACACCAACTTATATGAGGAAAAATCAGATAAAAGGATTTAAAAACATGAAGAAACCCTAACAATTATGTGGGACTCTATCAAGAGGAATAACCTATGAGTGATTGAAGTACCAGAACAGGGGGAGATAACAGAAAATACAGAGAAAATTGTTGAAGATTTGTTGGCAGAAAACTTCTCTGATATCGTGAAGGATGTCAAGATATCTATCCAGGATGCTCATCAAACCCCACATAAGGTAGACCCCAAAAGAAAGTCACCAAAACATAGTATAAACAAACTTGCCAAAACCAAAGATAAAGAGAATTTTAAGAGCGGCTAGGGATAAACGAAAAGTCACCTACAAAGGAGAGTCAGTAAGAATAAGCTCCGACTACTCAGCAGAAATCATGCAGGCAAGAAGGCAATGGGATGACATACATAAAGCCTTGAAGGAAAAAAACTGGCAGCCAAGAATTATATATCCAGCAAAACTGTCTCTCAAATATGATGGCGAAATTAGGGCATTT